GCCATCATGTTTTCAATCACATCATATGTATGCAGAAGCTGGATAATGAATAAGGAATACCAAAGAAGAATTGATTCCTTTGAAATTATGGTGTTGGTGAAGAACGAACAAGCCTGTCTTGGAAGAAGCACAGCCAGAATGCTGCTTAGAAACAAGGATGGCGAGACTTTGCCTCACCTAATTTGGACTTGTTATCAGGACGGACCAGTTCCTGGAGAAGGACATCATGCTTGGTAAAGTAGACGGTCAGCAAAAAAGAAGACCCTCAACAAGATGGATTGACACAGTGGCTGCAACAATGGGCTCAAATATAGCAATTGTGAGAATGGCACAGAACCAGGCAATGTTTCCTTCTGTTGTACATAGAGCCACTATGAGTTGGAACCGACTTGAAGTCACCTAACAACAACAAAGCTTTCTCTTTTTGTTTAATTGTACTTTAGGTGAAGATTTATAGAGCAAGTTAGTTTCTCATTAAACAATTAATATACATATTGTTTTGTGACATTGGTTGCCAATTCCATGACACGTCAACACTCCCCTTCTTGACCTTGGGATCCCCATTACCAGCTTTCCTGTCCCCTCCTGCCTTCTCATTCTTGCCCCTGGGCTGGTGTGCCCATTTAGTCTCATTTTGTTTTGTGGGCCTGTCTAATCTTTGGCTGAAAGGTGAACCTCAGGAGTGACTTCAGTACTAAGTTAAAAGAGTGTCCGGGGGCCATGCTCTTGGAGTTTCTCCAGTCTCTGTCAGACCAGTAAATCTGATGTTTTTTTGTGAGTTAGAATTTTGTTCTACATTTTTTTCCAGCTCTGTCCAGCACCCTCTATTGTGATCTCTGTCAAAGTAGTCAGTAGTAGTAGCTGGGCACCTTCTGGTTGTGCTGGGCTCAGTCTGGTGGAGGCTGTGGTACTTGTGGTCCATTAGTCCTTTGGACTAATCTTTCCTTTGTGTCTTTGGTTTTCTTCATTCTCCCTTGCTCCAGATAGGATGGGACCAGTGGAGTATCTTAGATGGCTGCTCACAAGCTTTTAAGACCCCAGAAGCTACTCACCAAAGTAGGATGTAGAATATTTTCTTTATAAACTATGTTATGACAATTGAGCTAGATGTCCTCTGAGACCATGATCCGCAGCCCTCAGCCCAGTAAGTCGGTCCCTTAGGGAATTTGGAGGTGTCTATGAAGCTTCCATGGCCTTGCCTTGGTCAAGTTGTGCTGACTTCCCCAGAATTGTGTACTGTCTGACTCTTCACCACAGTTACCACTTACCTATTGTCTAGTTAGTGTTTTTCCCTCCCCAACCCTTCCCTCCCCTCCCTAGTAACCATCAAAGATTTTTTCTTTCTGTATGTAAACCTTTTCATGAGTTTTTATAATAGTGGTCTCATACAGTATTTGTCCTTTTGTGATTGACTTATTTCACTCAGCATAATGCCCTCCAGATTCATCCATGTAACAAAGCTTTCTTGAACAAAGACATGATGAAACCTAAGAATCCCAAGAGGATTATACATCTAAACTTGGCATTTAACCTGTTAAAAAGACTTTTGAACCATTCAGGAAAACAGCACTCCCATTAACCAAAGTTCCATAAAATTGCAACAATCATATTCAAAGTTATATCCTAGCAACATTTAAAATACTTATATTAAATTCATTACTTACGCATATTCCATTTAGACTGAAAGACATTAGAATATTTTTCACTTCAAAATCAATCTGAGAATTCCCATTTAGGATGTTTATGATGTTCAAGCCTCATATCTATCTTTCTGAAGAAAATCTCACTACAGAAAGCTACCACATAATCAAGCAGGAAATACCACTGACAATCAAGTTGGGAAAAATAGTCCTGGGTCCACTTGATGTCTATAAAAACTATTTAAAATAATCTCTTTTCTGGGGTGCTAAACTCACTCTTCTGGGTTCTCTGAATTACTTAAGCAGCGTGAATGCAATTCTGCTGAGATCCAGGGAAGAGTTCATATTTGGGACAAATATTTACTGAATCCTAGGCATCAACTGCATACTTCTGTGGACCTTGTTTAATTTCTGCCTGATTGGGAAGATAAACCAGGTAGTTGGCTCTGAAAAGCTTCTAAGCCTAATATGAAGCAAATGATCAATGTTAACCAGCCAAAGGCCCAGGGGAAACTTGTCCCTCCCTTACTGGTACCCGTTCATCTGGCTCCAAAGTCAACATTTTACCTGGTTTTCAAGGTTACAAGAACTTTTTGTAGTTTTCCAAAAATGTAGCTATGACCAGCCTTTCCCTGCATATTTCTTAATAAAGAAACGTGAGCAGAGTTTTTAAAAAAAAAAAAAAAAAAAAAAAAAAGCACTCCAAGGAGTATGATTCACAGTTAAGGGATAGGAGAACCTAACAAAGGTGATTAAGGAACTGGTGAGAGTTTCCTCTGAAAACTGCACAATTACCTTCTAAAGCATTAGATTTAAAGCCTCATATTCACTGTAAAAGGTGTGAAAGGTAAAGTTAATCGAGAAAGCAGAGTTATTCTACCGAAGAGACCCATTTGAAAGTGAAATAGAGGTCAAAACCCCACTCTAAGATGGAGATTGGAAACTGCCAGATGTTCCGATGCAAAGGTATAGTTCAAAAAGGGCAAAATTGACAGGTTGTTAACCATGCCAGCTGTTATAATACAATTTATGTTTTCTTTGTTATGTGAAATGTACAATCGTAGCAGAAACATTAAACACCTGCGTGGGTTCAAGGAAGGGCACAAAACAGTTTTAAATCAAATTTTGTTGTAATAAATAAAACTGACAGCAGAGGGCTCCCTTCAACACCTGGCAAATCCTGAACGCAGAAAAAGTCCAAATGGTGGGGCTTTTTACTTTTTGGTAACTTCTGGTAAGAATTAAAAAACATGGATTTGTACATAAATTATGAGTACAATATTTCAGGGCTTTGAACTGGTTCATTCTGGTTCAAATCCCTGCTGAGAATTTGCGTTTCTAACAGTTCCCAGGAAGTTATACATAAGAATCACCTGCGGATCTTGTTAAAAATGTAGATTCTGATTCAGTATATCCGGGGTGGAAATGCAAATTTTCAGCACAGGTTCGAACCAGAATGGAACTGATTTGAAGCTCTCCAATATTCAGAATTTTAGACAGTAAGGCGCCTTTGTTCTTCAAAAATTTTTATTTTCCAGTGTGCTTTTTACTAATAAGAAACTTTATCTGAAGTTACTAATGGAACAACTCAGGGTGGTCTAAGTGTAAAATGCCTCAAGAAAATAGAATAATTTTGATGACCTCTCTAAAGTATTTCAGACTATCCACCTGATGACACAGCTAGCCATTTCCATAAAAGTGCAATTTTTAACTATAAACCCTGTATCCAAGAACACAAAATAGAAACAAAAGAGGGTTGTACTCTGCAAACCAAGAATCTCTAACAATCTGGAGCCTGGGAACAACTAACACCTGGCTCAATACCGTGATGTTTTAAAATCAAATCAAAATCTTATTTATATTTTTTAAAGATATTTTTAAAACATTTTGAATCATTTATGGGGGCAGACTTCCCTATGTAGTGTCCTCTGTGTAGGTCATCTGTATTTGCAGCCAGCTATTTTGAATGTTATGAAAAATAATGGGTAAAATTTAGTAGGCTTTGCCTCAAAATATTGATTCAATTCACACGTCATCCTTAGAAAGTAGAATGATTTTAAAAAGTCAGTTTTACTGCTGATCAAGTAGGATACTCTTAAATACTGACTTGTTTTTATTTAGTTTTTTTTTTTTCTTGACAAAGAGTCTTTACTTCTGATTACCAATACATTAAGTAATAACATGTAACGGACTGAATTTTGTCTCCCCTAAAAATGTGTTGAATTCCTGGCCCTTGTGCCTGTGCATGTAATACTGTCTGGAGATAGGGTTTTCTTTGTTCAGTAGATCATACTGAGTAGGGTGGGTTCTAAATCCAATCTTCTGAGTTATAAAAAGAGCAGATTAGACACAGAGACACATGCACGCAGGGGGAAGGCAGATGCCATGTGAGGATCGACAAGGAGCCAAGAAAATCCTGGGGCTACGGACAAGTAAGGAATCAACAAGGCAGAAATGCTGATTTGCACTTTTAGCCTCCAGAACTGTGAAAAAATCAATTTCTGTTCTGTAAAGCCACCCACTTGTATTTGTGTTATAGCAGCCTAGGTAACTAAGACAACATATAACAAGTTCTTTAATTCTATCATTTAGTATCTTTTTTTTATTTTGGTTACAATTTAGTAAATTTTATTAAGAGAAACTAAAAACAGCCCAAACAACTAGACTAGTATTCACTGTTCTAACCCTTAACCAGAAAGGATTATTTTAAGGCTAGCTGCTGTTACACAAGCTACAAATAATTATTTACTACGTCTTCGTCGATAAAGTCCCTAACCTTAAAGAAAGCTTTCAGGAAAGAAAATATTTAGCCCACTACTTTCTTCAAAGAATTGTGGGGTTTTTTTGTACTAGATCTAAGAAAAGTCAGTACTGCTATATATGATGCTCGAGCTAAAATGCACAGGAAAACAGACAATGTACACCCATAAATTTATAAGAAAACCAAACCAAATCCACTGCCGTCCACTCTATTTCAACTCATAAGGACTTTATAGGACAGAGTAGAACTGCCCTATAGGGTTTCCAAGTCTGTCAACCTTTAGGAAAAGTGGACTGCCACATCTTTCTCCTGTGGGGCAGCTGGTGGGTTGGAACCAAAGACCTTTCGGTTAGCAGCCGACCACTTAAACCACTGTGCCACCAGAGCTCCTTTATGAGAAATGAAAGGTAAAAAGATGAAGTGTTTGGATAAACTGTCTTAAGTCTATACAAAGAAACTATGCTACTCTCGAAAAATTAACCAAACCCGTTGCCATCAAGTTGATTCTGACTCATAGAGACCCTATAGGGCAGAGTAGAACGGCCCCGTAGGGTTTCCAAGGAGCGGCTAGTGGATTCAAACTGCCCATCTGAACTCTTAACCACTGTGCCACTAGGACTCCCCAAAAATGAAAGGACCCACTATATAATATAGAGAAATAATTTAATGCCTTTTCACAAGGATTCAACTCTAGCTTTGCTAAAGCTTCATTTTCCATATGAGGGCATCTAAACTGCCAGTCCATCGAACAGTTTCTTCCTCCCTATCCATTTATGCGGTAGTTTTCATGGATTTCCGGCTGGATGTCGCAGACGAAGGCCAGAAGGTTATTTAGAACTTCTTCCCTATTCTGCTGGAAGTAGGTCTGGAGGACAGTCATCTTCTCCTGGGTCTCCTTCTCCACTTCGATGCTCCAACTGCCGTGGGATCCCAGAGCAGCCGCTTCCTTGGCCTTGAACTCTTTCTCCCTCTGCAGGCGGTACTGTTCAATTTCAGCCTGAGCTTCTTCTTTGGCCTGCTTCAGCCTTCGGTTCTTTCGCTTGCGGGCCTCGGCCACCTTCTCGGCGGCTCGCTTCTCCGCCTGCAGCAGCTGCTGGATGCCCTGCGACTGACAGGCCATGGTGGCTGCGACTCTGAGGTGGAGATGAACGGCCTAAGACGGCTCGAGCACCGCCCCCCTCGCGGGTCAGCTGACCCAGGTGCCCCAGATCTGCGGCTGCGCCTGAGTCTGCTGCACGCCCCTGAACCACATGCCCTTTTTGATATCTTCTTTAGCTTCATCGAAGTATAGCGTTAATCAGGAGTCAACAAAGTACAACCAGTGGGGCAAATGCAGCCCACCACCTGTATTTATGCAGCCCATCACCTGTATTTATACAGCCCACAATTGAAGAATGATTTTTACATTTTTAAATTGTTGAGAAAAGTCAGGAGAACATTTCGTAGCACGTAAAATTATATGAAATTTAAAATTAAGTGCCCATAAAGTTTTGAATTTCATCAATAAAAAAATCTGTGGAAATTTGTTTTCTCTCTTGTTACAGAAGTACTTACATGATATCCCCAATTTTCCCTCTTGACCCACAAAGCCTAAAATATTTACTATCTATACAGAAAAAGTTTGCTGATCCCTGAACTATGCCATTATTTAATAATGTTCCATGGGTTCTTAATAAATAAAGACTTTGTTCCTTTAGCTTTAGAAGCAAATAATCAATAGCAGTGGCTCCCAAAATTCCCTGCACTTTGGAATTACCTGGATAGCTTCAAAAATACTGATATCTATGTCCCAGCCCCAGAGACTGTGATTTAATTGGTCTGGGATGTGGCCTGAGCATTTTAATTTTTAAATGATCCCTAGGTGATTCTAATGTGCAAAAAAGTTTAGGAACGACTGATGTAGTTTTTGGCAATTTCAATCTACCCAGCTTCAGCTGAGCCCTCCCTTCTGTTGACGGTTCTTTTATCCCTCCTGTGGATTCCCCCAAATGCTCCAAACCCTCCCTTCTCACCCTATGCCTTACAGTCCCACTACTCCAAGTTCCATTCTTAGTAGCAAGTGACCTCCTCCTCAACTCCACGGAGAAGATCAAGGGCAACCCACTACCAAGTCTGCCTATTTTACACTCTGGGTATTTGAGTCCATCCTCTTCTCTCCATCCCTTCTACAGGAAATATACTACAGTGGTTAAAAAGAGGTTTTGAATCAGACAGGCCTGAGTCTGAGTCCCTGTTCCACTATTCACAAGATCCGTGACTTTGAGCCAATTATTTATTCACCTTGAGCATCAATTTCCTCATTTATAATGTGGAATAAAAGTAATACCTACCTTATAGGGATTTTTGTGATTTGTTTACTACTCAAAGTATGATCCTTGGACTAGGAAGATTAGCATCACCTGGGTGATTATTAGAAAAGCAGATTCTCAGGCCTCACCCAAACTATTGAGTCGGAATCTGCATTTTAAAAAGATCCTCTAGTGATTTGTGTACACATTACACTTTGAGAAGCATTGTGCTAGGAATCCTTTCATATCTTTCCACACCCAGGCTGAGTTAACAGTCTTTTCTCAGCCCTTCTATAATATTCAATAAATAAAAGTTGCTGATGGATTTTATGTGCAAAAGAAGATTTGCCTGACTTAAAAAAAAAAAAATTGATCTGTCAGCCCTGTATAGGATAATCTGAGGTAAGGAGAGACTAAATGGAGGCTGCGTGGGGGGTAGAGGGATTAAAAGTTGCCAGGTCACTTTCATGCAACTTAGAAAAAGATACTCCCTTTGAGCAGACATGGCCCCATGGGTGCACACCTAGTGAACTAGCAGAGTCTTGGCGCAATTTGGAAGAAGGTGCTCCTTCCTCTGGGCTGATGCTGCCCTGTGCCAGAGCACATGGCTTGCCAAGGGCAGCAAGGTCTCAGTCAGTTGTCTCTGGGCAGCATGTGGCAACCCTGATAAGATAAGATTAAATGAGGTCCTGAACTAGGGTGTGGTCAACTGGAACGAAAAACGACGGATTCCAGAAAATGCCTTACTTGACGATTCTGAGACATCAGGGAAAATCCCACTCAGCTTCTGGTATCACACTGTTATAAGATTAAGAAACTAATTCTCAGAAGAAGTAAGATGTTTTCCCGTATTTACTTATGAAATAAGAGATGGGATTTAAATACCAAAACCATGTTCTTTTCACTGGTTCTTGATAAGTCAACTTACCTATCCACACCTGAAAGCTTTTGAACTAACATTATAGGATGGATGTAGATAGGTAGTAGAGGCCTCCAGAAAAATGAAAAGGTAGCAGCCACATTTTGTAAGCACTGCCATCAATCTAGTCCCATGAACACTCCTGCTTGCTTTTTTTAATTGGTATGATTAGTCACAGTGCCAAATGCTGAGCCTAACTCACTCACCAGTTACAAGCATCTCAATGTATTATGTTGGTTTAAGAGAAAAAGTAAAATCCACTGCCCCTTATCCAATGTATCTATCACCCCACAGATTTTTGACTTGCTGAACCCTGGGGCAAGTGCTAAAGGACACTAACATAACCAGCTAGTGAATGGGGTGGGACTTTCTTTAGGAACACTGCTCTACCTACATCAAGACATTCCAGCTCATAGCCATGGACAGCTACACCTAACCAGTTTCCTGTGTTTTCAGAAAGGTCAAACTGGAGATCATCTTAACTACTGTTTTTAAGCTAGGCCAGGTCTTACGAGCGAAGGGAGAGAGAATGTTCCACCATTCACTAAAGCATTTGGTTCCTCTCCTGAGAGCAAACCAAGAGCCTTCATGTGTTCAAGGCAGGACACTGAGCAGTTAGTTAAATTTTCAAGCTACCAAATATTTATGCCAAGTCTTTCATTTCACTGGAGACTAGAAGGCTTGCCTGTGTGGAGACACTACCCCAAGAAAGCTGGTGTAGTGTGTTCAGGAGGTCTGTAAATACTACTGGATCAGACAAAGGCCCTTGAGAGCAGGGTTTGTAACTGGTTTATTCTGGTTCAAACCCCTGCTGAAAATTTGTATTTCTAACAAGTTCCCAGGCCATGCTACTGCTGATTAGAACCAATTCTGAGAACAACTAGTAGAGCAGTGGGTCTCAAAATTAATTATATATAAGAATCACCTGGGGATCTTGTTAAAATGTAGATTCTGATTCAGGAAATGCAAATTCTCAGCTTCTGGATTCAGAGCCCTGCCTGAGAGGTAACTTAAGTCAAACATTACTTCAGCAAACAAGTATTTACTGAGCACCTTCTCTGTGCTCAGCAATGTACAGGGATTGTACTTCATTAATCTATATAACTTCTCTGTGAGCCAGACATTTTCTTTTCATTTTTTCTAAAGGTGGATTGGAGAGGTAATGGTGGTTTGGCCACATTCTCATTGCTTTGTTCTTCCCTGTTTTTGCACTTACCACATTGCCTAGTCCAAGCTCTTTGGTCCTTATGAGATGAGAAGTCAGCTTTTCTATTCCTGTTATAATTCATTTTGAGATGGCACCAACTGGGAAACCCTTGCTTGCTTCACTTGAATAAGCTATCAATCCAGTTCCAAAAGCAGATTTTGAAAAAAAGAGGAAGGAAACTAAGGTTAATTTTGTCTCCATGTTTATAGTCTTAACCCATGGCTTTTTGAAGTGGAATTAACATGCTATTCTCCAAATGCTCAGCTTTGTAGGTGAAGGAGCCCCCAAGAAATGTTCAAGCACTACTATTATTAAGTATCTCATTGTGGTTAGATGATGCATTTCCCTCATTTGTATGGGAATCCTCTTCCCCTTAATCAGAGGTGATCGGTAGTATTTAATGAATGAATGAAGGATAAAGAAGTGTCCAAAGACAACCAGAGTATTTAAGTGCCTGCTCAGAAGAACTAATGATTCATGACGCCTGGTGAAAGGAAACAAAAGCACCAAGAAAAATCTTTAGGTCACTCGGCAAGGGAATGGAGGTATGATATCCCAGACAAGATGTTGTTGACTAAGGGGTAACCTGCAAATTTAGAACATGTAAACAGTGTGGCAGAAACAATAGAAGCTGCTGTACCTATAAAGTCTTTCTTATGACCTGGAACACAGAAATGTATCCAGCTTCCTCTGTAGAAGTAGTTAAGTCCTGTTTAATACAAAGAACCAAACAATTATTGTATTAGAAGATGAGATAATGCAGGAAATAGAAGAGAGAAGAAGGGCAGTTGGGAAAGACAGGGAAGGAGGGAGAAAGAGAAAGAGAGAAGAGAGAGAGAGATTACTTTCTTCCTTATGAGCCAATATGGGAGTCCAAAGTCATGGAATAAAGAGCATGCCTCTGCTTGAGAGATGGTGTTATGCCCACACTAATGCCACGTATTTTCTTTCATTTCACTGGAGTGAAATGTATTTTCTATAATGCTATTGAGGAAAGATGAAGACCCTACTGTTTAGGGCAGCTCAGTGGTGACTAGGAGCCTGCAGCCTGTTTTGCCAAGTTTATTTCAGAAATGGAAAAAGAATTAAGTGAAACAACAAAAACTGATGTTCCTCCTTGGACCACAGCTGAAACATCAAACTCCAGTGTGAGAGATTAATGTAATATCATTCCCTAAAGTGTTCTGTTTTCAAATATGTGTCTTCCTGCTGCAGGAGAACTGATATTTAGTAGAAAATGCAACTGTGTAGAATCAAGCTTGTGGACATTGTTATGATTTCTGTGTTTTGCTTTAAAATGCTTCAGTATGAACAATGTGTCTTAGTCTCAGGAAAGCCTTAAGTGTTGTCTGTTTTCCCAAGCAGAACTCACGCACCAGGGGTAGTTAGCTAGCTAGATAGCAGTTAATTGGAAAGCCCATACTCCAGAGGAGATAACTGCAAGTCTTCAGTTACCTCTCCCTCCATATGCACCAGAGGCTTAGGAAATTAGCATAAAAAATATTAGAATTGGGCTCTCACTGATGAAATTAATAGCACTCTAGATACATGGATATCCTGTGATATATGGATAAAGGTCCCTAGGTGGCGCAAATGGTTTGCTCTTGACTACTAAGCTTAAGGTTGATGGTTCAAACCCACCCAGCAGCACCACAGAAGAAAGACCTAAGTATCTGCTTTCATAAAGATTATAGCCAAGAAAACCC